AACCCAATATACCTATTATTATTGTTGATGGTGGTAGTGTTATCAATATTTTCTCATATAAGATCTTAATATCTGGTAATTAATGCATGAATAGCGGACCGCACCAAGCAGCCTTAACTATCATACAATTTTCCCCTGACCCTATTTATTATTATTATTATTATTATTTTTATTTTCTTTGATTTCTGGCGTTTACACATTTCTTTCCGGGTCCCGCCCAGGGACCTAAGGTTAGAAATGGCGTCATGACACTTTCCACTGACAAAAAAAAAGAAAAAAAAAAGAATTAAATTACATAGATAAAGCCCTTCGTAAGGTGTGGGCTGTACTTGTCAGAACAATTTTTTGTATCTCCTTGAGGCATGGACTTCCAGGAATCCCTTCAATTAGTCTACTGCAATCTTTTCCAACCAGTCCTAGGGCTCCAACTACAACAGGGATTGTTGATGTTCCCATATGACACATTTTCGAGATTTCTATTTCAAGGTCCTTGTACTTTGACAACTTTTTGAATATCTTCAAAGATACATTGCAGTCAGCAGGGACTGCCATATCAATAAGGAGGCATTGTTTTTGTTTGTGGTCTTTAATAACAATATCTGGCCGGTTGGCCTTGATTGTTCTGTCAGTGTGTATTGTGTAGTCCCATAGAATTGTAACAGGTCCTATCTCCGTAACCGGGTCTGGGTGGTGTTCATACCAGTTTCTTTCAGTTTCCTTCCCGTAGAAGTTGCAGATTTTCCAGTGCAGATATTGGCCCACTCTGTCATGTCGGGTTTTATATTCACCGTACAACCTGATACAAGATGATCAATCGTTTCTGGATATTTATCACAGAATCTGCATTTTGGGCTGACACAATATTTTAGTATATGTGCTTGATAATTCCTAGTTAGCAAGCATTGGTCCTGCGCAGCAAGGATAAAACCTTCAGTTTCCGCTTTCAACCCTGCACTACGTAGCCACTGATGGGTACGGGTTTTGTCTACGTCAGCTTGTTTGGTACGGGCAGAGTATTGGCCATGAAGCGGTTTATCTTGCCATCGCTTCTGTAAATGGTCGGTTGCATTCGTCTTTGCTGTCTTTTTTAGGTATTTTGCAGTTTCAGCCGGTGTATTGTGCTGTAGTTGCATCTCTACGCCCATTTGAAACTCCATTTTGAATTTGTTGGCTTCTTTCATTACGGAGTAAAGACGCTTACTACTTTCATGTTCCTTGACGCATACCATCATCCAGTCTTCTGTAGTTTCCAAATATCTTTGGAGGCCAATTGTTGTAGTTTTGTAGGACAGTTCTAGTTGAACTAATCCACTGCCTCCTTCGGATCTGGACACATACAGACGATCGACATCAGCTTTGGGATGATGCATGCGATAGCAAGTGAGAAGCTTTCTCGTTTTGGCATCCATTCGCTTAATTTCAGCTATGGTCCAGTTAAGGACATTAAAGCTGTATTGCACCACAGAGACAGCCAATGTGTTTATGGCTGATATCCTGTTTTTTGAGTTTAGCTCAGTATTTAGTATCAGACGTACACGCCTGTAGTACTCTTTTCTTATTTTTTCCTTCATTTGGGGGTGTTGCATGCCATCTCCTTCGCTAATTCCTAGGTACTTATAAGCTTCACCATGCTCCAGTTCCCTAATCTTTGTGACAAAATTAAATCTATTAAGGGTGTTTCTGTAATTCTACCTTTCTTAAAAGTTACTTTTGCACATTTATCTAATCCGAAGTCCATACCTATGTCGTCACTGAAGTATCTTACAATATTGAGGAGGCCTTTCAACTCATTGTCGTCTTTGGCAAAGAGTTTGAGATCATCCATGTAGAGTAGATGATTGAATATTTTCTTATTTATTTTGTAACCATAGCTACTGTTGTTCAGTTCATGTGTAAGAGGGATTAAGGATAAACAAAACAGAAGGGGTGACAGAGAGTCTCCTTGAAAGATTCCACGTCGGATATTCAGACGGTTGGATATGGCAGTGCCCCCGGTGTGACTAAGGTATAGTTTGATGTTCCACATTCCCATGCTGTGCCTAAGGAAATTTAATACCACAGGGGAGACTTTGTACATTTCCAAAGTCTTAAGGATCCAAGAATGTGGAACACTATCAAAGGCTTTACGATAATCAATCCACGCTGCACTTAGATTCCTGCGTCGTCTCCTACAATTTTCCAGGATCATTTTATTTATCAGAAGTTGATCTTTGCAGCCATATGAACCTCTTCTGCATCCCTTCTGTTCCAGCGGGAGAATGCTGTTTGTTTCGAGAAAGGAATAAGTACGGTTCGTCAGTACAGACGTGATCAACTTATACGTTGTGGAGAGACATGTTATCGGTCTATAATTTTTCGGGTCGTCTGTTTCAGTTGTTTTTGGTATGAGGTGTGTAATACCTTCAGTAATCCATTCCGGGATTTTATTGAGATTATTTACAAGTGTTGATAATGTTTTTGCAAGAATTTCATGGGTAGATGTGAGATGATACAGCCAGAAATTGGGCAACTTGTCATTTCCTGGGGATTTCCATTTTGGGGATTTCGTTAGAGCTTGCCTAACATCATCTGTGGATATATTTTCCCATTCTTGCAGAGGTGTATCCAGCATTCGTTCTTCTTTACGCCGTATCCATTCTGCATTTGGGTTATATTCCTTTGGGCTGCTCCAGATATTTTCCCAAAATGTCTGTACATTATCAATCGATGGTGGCCTTTCAACATGTATAGGTGTTTTTCCAATTTCCCTGTAAAATTTCTTAAGATCTGTTCGGAATATTTTATTTTGGCGATAGAACCTACGTTTTTCGTATCGTCTTGTTCTCTGCGCTTTTAGCTGAAGTTTCTGCTTCAGCATTTCCTTGATTGATGGAATATCAATTAGGGATTTAATGTTATATTTCCGCTTGATCTTTTTGCATTTACGTGTGGAAATATTAGGGTTTCTGGTGAGCTCATCTAATATAGAAAGCTCACATCTGATTTGTTTTATTTCTCGAATCAGTTTGGTTTTCCAAGCTGGTTCTCTGTGTCTGTTAATTTTATTTATTGTCTTGACTCCAAGCTTCCGAGTCGCTGCTAAAGCTGTTGTGTATATGACGTTGTTAACTTCTGTGATGTTTCCCGGTGGTTTATCTGTTAACAGTGTTTCCAGAGCAGTATTGTATATTTTCACGATGTGCTTGTTGGAATTCGTCATATGGATTTTCGGGAGCTGGTCTCTGTCTGACAATTGTATGAAAGTTACTCTGCTGAGTACTTCGATGACGTCATTTTTAGCTTCGGTGATTTCAGCTTCGTGGTTTTCAAGGAATTCTAACTTATTGTCACTGAGGATGACTCCAGGTACATTTTCTGGAGGACTGTAGGTTGTGTTTAAGGTAGAGTCTTGGGTTTCATTTCCTGGGAGATTATTTCGTATTTCATTCGCTTTAGCGTCCACCTCATCCTCTGTTGCATTCCTTATTTCTACATTCGTCTCAATAGAGTTTGAGTGATGGGTCAGGGTATTTTGTCTTATATCTAATTTTATCTTATCTATTTCTGCCTTTGAGAGTCTGTTGTTTCGCATGATGTCCCTACGGACATTGGCAAGCATGTTTAGATTGAGGTTAGGTCTTATATCATTTCCCACCGTACTTCTCCATATTTGGTATGTTTGATTGGTGGTGTTCTTTGCTGGGTTTTCGAGTGCAGTGAAGAAGGATGTCATGACTTGTCGATACTCTTCGCGGCTCCATTTCGTTCGTTTACTTTTTTATTAGTCGATTTGGTATTGAGTCACTTGGTCCAAGGTTGGCAATAATCCGGGTTTGGTGACCAAGTGTCTTTTTCGTGTGGGAAGAGTTTGTTCCAGTGGCAGACTTTCCGTCCTCAGACTGGTTCCTCTCTGAGCGACGCGGCCCTTGTTGTCCCGGTTGACGGCCGATCCGGTATGAAGTATTATTCGTATTCATTGAAATTGGTAGAGATGCGTTTTAACCTTGACCGCCAAGGGGTAATTATGTTCAGGTTATCAGCTATAGGGCGACAAAGATGAGGACAATAGTCCGAATAATGTAAATAGTGTATATAATACCTCATCTCAGAAATATAGACAGATACTGACAGATGCGGTGTCATCTTAACGTGTGTCTAAGCTGTTAATCGAGGCATAGTATGGTTCGCTGAGTATCTTTCACTGTTTTTCGCTGTTAACGGCGAGTCGTTTTTATGGCTATTGGCGAGCTCCGAATGCTATCTAAGCTTTGCGCGGGAATGTAGTCAGTAATCCTAGTCCCGGTCCATTTCCAGTTCAACCGCGCGTAAAAAAGTCCTATTCAATAAAGTTTCAGAAACTATTTATTTAATTTGGTGCTGTGATTGCACAGAATTGTAAAAAAAAGTTTTTCGTATCTTCTGAATTTACTAAAATGTATTTGTAGGCATCTCTAACTTGTTTGTGCTTCACTTATTGGCCGTAAATATACTTTTTATCCTATGCTATATATATATATATATATATATATATATATATATATATATATATGTATATACCACGGTTCATTTGTCAGGAAGGAGACTTCTTGATGTTATCGGTCTGGAGGGGGACGATCTTGGGAAAGTAATTGAAAACCTTAGCGCGGGTTGAGCCACGCCTTGTGAGTGAAACTGGTTAGACGAAACACTTGAGGACCTTCGATAGCTTTTGCTAGCACAAAGTTAAAAGTCATCGTGACCAAGTGTTTGAGTGCGATGGCCTTGTTCAGATTTTTGATCTCGCTTGATTGCACGCTCTCTCCCAGAAACTGTAACTAAGATCTGCTCAGCATAGTTGCAGTATAAACTACAGTTTGGCTCTGTGGGCGTTGAAAAAACATGTTTTCTGGGCGAGCGTCTGAATTAGGTACTGGCTAGCAGCCCTAGTAGACGGGTATCCCCGAACACGATTGGCCACGATTATATATATATATATATATATATATATATATATATATATATATATATATATATATATATACGTGTATGTGGGGCAGATAGATAGATAGATAGATAGATAGATAGATAGATAGATAGATAGATAGATAGATACTTCGACATATATATGGTGTATTATATATCAATTAATGCTCTGAATATTACACTATCTTGTTCGCCACAAATTTGATTTGGTAGGAAACTGGAAGATACGATGAAAGCATAATACAAGAAAAATTAATGAAAGAACGACGAGAAGTATTTTATAGATTATCATCATTTAATTATAGTATCTTGTTTACCTCTTCATATATTAGACACTGGAAAATACAATGAATGTATGACGTAAGTACATATTCAAGAACAAAGGAGAATAATCGATAATAATATCTTAGATTATGATCATTTAAATATAATATAATGCTCTCCATATTATAGTATTCTGCCAACCATTTAATTGATTAGACAGTAGAAGATAAAACGAATTCATAACACAGGGACAAAGTAAAGAACCGAAGAATATTATGGGTTATCGTCATTTAAATATAAAATAATATTCTCAGTATTATGGTACCTTTACTATGGCCATATTATGTTCAAATATGAAAACAATGTTAAGCATTGATCATCAAAATTAAGCAACGTCGAGCCTGGTGGTCAGTATCTAGATGAGTAACCGCTTAAGAATACCAGGTTCTGTAAGGTTGGATGTACAATGTTTGTAATGGATAACGGATAGGAATTAGAAACCAGAGAGCCGAGTTCGAATTCCAGTCGAATTCCTTATATTCACTTACGCGCAAATACCCTTGGGAAAGGTATGAATCCATCTCTTCGAGCTAAACACAAACATTAACTCCTAATACGAATGGAAAATTCGAGACTGTTTTACCTACCCAGTAGTTTTTTTTTGTTTCATTTGTTCCTGCGTTTGTACGTTACGCTTTTAGCGTTATACTATAATATTCAGTATTATTTTATAATTTAGTGAACGTCTCTGTGTAATCATATCTTTTGTTCCTGCATCTGTACGTTATGCTTTCATTATGTGCTATAATGGTTACTCTCCTTGGAGGTAAACATGATATCTTACGTAGCATTCTTCTTTTTCTGTGTGCCGTTTCCCTTCAGGATGTTGGCAATCATGTTTCTCCCAAACTTCCTACCCTTTGTAGCGTAGTAAAGTTTGTCTTTTTGTTATATCTTCCACCCTCCAACCTCTCCCTCACAGGCGGGATGTGACAAGCCTCTCACTGCTCTATTGCTACTCCCATGGAATGTGAGCGGACGAACTGTATTCTTTGGTCCCGCCAGTTCTAACCTTCACGACCAGAGCCTGCCATGCTACTCACATTGTAGAAAAACACCCACATTCCCTCCCTATTCTATTGGTTCACTCGAACTGCTTCTTCCCGCGAAACGCTGATCTATGGAACCAACTCCCGAGAGAATGTTTCACCGATCACTACAATCTTAACTTGTTCAAGTCTAGGGTTAACTGTTATCCTCCCATCTCATCCGCATAAACTGACTCTTACAGTAACCCTCTACCTCGAGTGCTCCGCCCCCCACCACGAGTCTTGTGCAGGGTCAGACTCACAGTAAAAACATACAAATAAATAAAATAAAACTATCTCCTAATCCCAACCACTTACACAGGCTCTTTAGGTAGGTTATGAGCTATTTTCCACTGTACCTCTTTACCTTCAGTATATTCTGTGACTGTCAAATTCTCCAAGCTTTCTTTTCTCATTATACGTCCTAGAAATTTCAACAGTCGCTTTCTGCTGTTACGTATAAGTTTCCTTTTTGTTTCCATTTTCTCTAAAATTTCTTTGTTGCTCCCTTATTCAGTCCATAGAATATCCGCACCCTTCTGTAGAACCATTGTTTGACGTTGTATGTAGTTTCAATATCTGATCAAGGGTTCATAAAAACATCTTATCACAGATTCTTCGAAATGAACATAATTTCCTGACATTATTCTCGATCGGAAATCAAATTCATATCATTTTCAATTTATGCTTTATTTTATTTTATTTATTTATTATTTTGCAACGTTGATTGTTTGTTACTTTCTGGTTCAGTAAATTTCTATTCACCTTTTCATGTAAGACATGTTTCTATTAAGGACAAGAAAAAATTTCCTTATATAAATATTTTACACAATTTGCTTCCTTTGTAAATTAATGAAATTCATATTAAATTTTAAATCTGCCATGATTTTCCAACTTCTCTATTTAGGCTCATTCTTCCGATCAATATTTTATGAGAGCTTAGGTTTTCGCATATTCTAACTTTATTGGATGCGTTTTTAATTTAATGGAATTAAATCTTTATTTACAATTTTATACAGACTGTCCAAAAAGTCACGAACGAAGTTAAAAATGTAATAATATTTCTGTTTTCTAATAATTAATCACTCTTCTAAATAGATTTTACTAAGTGGAAATAAATGTTAGATATAATAATATAACCATTATAGACCCCATTTTTCTTCTCGGCTCTTTTAATAATATTTCCCATAAGTGTGACTAATATCTCTGCCGGCCAATCTCGAATTTCTGTGTGGATAATTTTTTAAAAGCCCGCTGGGTTGTCAGGAGATAGTTGATGTACACAAGCTTGTTTTGTTCGCTCCAAAACAAGTGTGCAGACGCCGTTGGAGTTGGAAAACTTAATAGTATATTCAGACAGTATGTATTAATATTAAAATTAATTTTATTCAGAAAAAAAAATTACGATGTGGAATTAACTCAAGAGCAATAAGAAAAATAACTCCCCAAATCAAGAGAAAATGTTTACCTCTTCATTTGTTAGTTATAAAAAGTGTGTGGATGAGGGGTTCGTGAGTAAATTTCGCTTACAAATTTATGTAACGTAACTGATCTCCACAGATAATTCACTAATAAATAATCCTAAATGCAATGCAAATTCATTATTCTGATATTTTTCTCAAGATTTTCGTAATTAAATCGTGTTAAAATACAAGGTCAAGATTTTTGTTTCATTTCAGTCTTATGTTATGGCGAAATTAAGGGTCTTTTTTTACAATAGACAAATCTGTAACTGTCTTTGCAATATTTTAGATTTAAATAATGATAATCCATAATAATACTCTATTTGATCTTTTGTTTGTCCGTTCATGAGTATATATATATATATATATAAGTCTAAAACCGGTTTAAAAAATCTAAAATAAAAAAAGCCACTGTTAACTTTTATACACGTGCCACCCACCACTCTCCATAACAATTAAGTTAAATATTTGATTTTCCTTTTTACTGAATACATTTACAATACACTTATATTCCTGTCCCTTTTCATTCTTTCCTTCCCCCCTCCTTTTCCACTTCCCTTCCCATTACACCCATTGGCCTGTTTTTCAATCATCATACGACTGTGTGATTTTTTTTTTTTTTTGAAAGATAATTATGTAGGGTTCTTTGTTTTGTTTTTTTTAAATAAAGCGTTGTGGTCATTTTGAAATTGTCGCCCGACGAGACCGCGGGGTTGAAACCGCGGCCTCGTATTTTAATTGACCTCCTGATTTTTAAACTTAAAAGTTCTACATGTTATTAGTATTTTTCTTTTTACTTTTGTTTTTTCTCGCGTGTATTGAGCACTTTTTAATACTACTGTTTCCTGGTCTGATTCAACTCTGACCATTAATCTCTCTCTCTCTCTCTCTCTCTCTCTCTCTCTATATATATATATATATATATATATATATATATATATGTATAAAGGTGACAAACGCAGCGCTATCGTCATCATGAACAAAATATACTATAAAACAAAATTTTTAAAGGTACGAGGGAGTAAGAACAACTATGAATTAATCGACACCAACATAGACAAAAATATCATATCTAAAATTACAAAACACTGCACAATACAATAAGATATTAACAAAAAAAAGAAAGAACTTCCTAATAAACTCCATCCCAAAAACGAGCAAAACGTTTTTATGGACTACCGAAAATTTACAAATCGAGTGAAATAAAAGCAGCTATCCAGACACAAAAATCTAAAGGTATTAACATCCCAAACACTAGTGATCTTAGATTCGGACCCATAGTAGCAGGATTAGTATGTTCAACTAGCAGACTCAGTAATCTAATAGACACCATACTACAACCATTTGCTAAACAGATTAAGAGTTACATAATAGATGATATCCACTTCCTTAGCTCCATACCACAAAAGTAGATCCGGTAATACCCATAGCAACGTTTGACATCAGTAGTAGCAACGTACCCCATGAATTAGGTAAACAGCAGTCACATTTTGGATTGAAAAACACCCAGAAATACTACATCTCAGATTGACCAAGAAATTCATTATCGATAGTATAGACCTAATCCTGAACAACAACACTTTTGAATTTGACAACATGAACTATATCCAAACCCTAGGTATCGCGATGGGTACAAGAATGGCACCTAACATTAGCTTACCTAGAGAAAAATCTCTATGAAAAGATAGAGTAAATATATGGGGAAAATATAAAAACTCATTTACTTCACTAAATCTTGGAAGAGATATTTAGATGATTGCTTCATTTTCTGGAAATCCTCATAGGCCGATATTAACCAATTACACAATCTACTCCAAAACCTACACCCGAAGATCAAATTCAACCAAGAATACAATTTTAACGAACTGCCACTCTTAGATATACTCATCAGAAATTGAAATAACCATATTATCACAGATATCTATCCCAAACAACAGACACCCAACAATATCTTCATTCCAATAGCCATCACCGAAGAAGCTACCGAAAATTCATCCTCTGTTCCATAGCACGTAGAGTTTACACTATAATGGCTGACAAACACCTCTGAAAAATCCGCTTAGAAGAATTGCATAAAACTCTCAAAATACAACACACACAACTAAAAAACAAGAGGTTTGAACTAGCAGAAAAATACCTTTAGACCAACTACGAAATCCAAAGAAACTAAACGTCGGACAAATTCTAGCATATGTCTTAACATACAAGAACAATCCTGAACTATTTGCAGAAATTACAAGAAATCTAGACCTACTTAACAAGAATGATAAAATGAAAGATATATTAAAAACAACCAAAATAATTAAAAGCAAATGCTAATCAAAAAACCTAAAACCCATATTAATCTCATCCAAATTTAGCCAACACGCAATACAGGGAGCCACAAAATGCAATAGAAAAAGATGTGGGATTTGTGATATCATCATAGAAGGAAACTCTCACACTTTTGAAAATCTGAAAATAACCATTCTTCGCCTGATGTTCACAAGACCCGAAACATATGTAGCAAAAAATATGGAAAATAAAGTATAATATATATTTTTTAAGAAATCCACATTATAACAAAAAAACTTTGCGGCTTCTCTTTTCTCTTATATATATATATATATATATACACACTCATGATATTTTGTTCTCGATTAGTTTTAATGAATGACTTGTACAAATATCCCTTTCAACCAAGGAGGAAATTCCGTCAAGAATTGTCTTGAGTTCATTCGGTCATGTCTCTTTTCGACATGATTGACATGGCAGAAGAATCCCCGCAGTAGACTGCCGTTACTTTCTGCAGTAGACTGGTTGCCAACCAAGACTACAGAAAACAGTCTCTCCTGCTATCTAACCCATAGCTGTAGAGAGAAGAGATGGACTTATACCTTTTTCAAGGGTATTTGCGGGTAAGTGAATGTAACGAACTCGCCTGTAATTCGAACTCTGCTCTCCGATTTCTCATTCCAAGCCGTTATCCATCACAAATTCTTACAACACTGGTATTCTCAAGCGGTTACCCATGTAGTTACTGACCATGCTCAACATTGCTTAACTTAAAGGTTCGGATGAGAACCTATATTGCAACGTGATATGGATGTAAACTCTGGTATTAGGATGTAACTCTGGTCTTTTCTCATTAGTTCGGCCTAGATTTATAATTCATCTCTTATCCCAAATAACTAAAAATTTGTTAAAAATGGTGGTATTTATTCTTCTAAAAAAGACTTGTAAGTGCGATAAAGGTAAAAATAACCGTTTCCATACAGGAAACTTTCAGTATTCTTTGACTGAAGGGTAAAGTTCTACTGTCTGTTGAAATTTATAAAATCTTTTTATTACAAACATTTTTTTTCAGGAAATTAAACTTCTACTTTTTAACATGGATCTCCACACACTTACAACAATTGCAGACTTCACTCGGCATATTACCGTATGAATCCGAGATTACCTAATTACATTAGCTAGTTAGTGAAATTGGAGAATGATTTCCAGAAACTAGGCTTAAACATTTACTTAAGATCTCTGGTCATCTCAGGTAAGTAAGCTTATTAGGTATTTAGAAATCATTTCGCATGGATGTAATATGGCAAAAGGCTTTTTATAGTGGGACCCCATGTAGAAATACAGCAACAAAGAGAAGTTTTATGCTTTAAGCCAGTGAGTCTCAAACATTTGAATATCTGGAACATGTACTATGTTGATTTGTTTTTTTTTACGTGTTATTGACCCTTTTGTGGGTTATTTAAAGCCGAAATATAGTTTAGATTGTAAGAATAATTGAATATTGCATTAACAATTTTTTTTTTTTGAAAATAACAATGATTTTTTCATATAAAGATTATAATATTTAACCCATATCTGGAGGGAAGAGATGGATTCCCAATGGTATTTGCGCGTAAGTAAATGTGACGAACTTAATTGGAATTCGAATACGGCTCTCCGTTTTCTCATTCCAAGCCGCCTTCCATTAGACTACACGCACATCATCGTGAACATGGAAGGACAATTACTGCAAAAAAAAAAAAGATAGATTCTTCCACATCTTCCATGCCCACCTGATTTAGCATCTGCAGATTTTCATTTATTTCTATCAAAATAACATTTCAGAAATGGCAGAACATTCAGAAATAAAGAAAAAATTGAACAGTCTGACAAACATTTTCCTAGAATAAAACCAGATTTCTATATACATTGAATCCAAAACCTGTCTTGCTCTTGGGATGCAGTCATTGAAAATGAAGTTTATTACATTTTTGATAAATAATATTCAAATATTATCTCACATTTGTTTGTACGTCCATTCTAGTAAAATGTAATTACTTTCCGAACAACCTAATTCTTTTCTTTTTTTTTTTTTTTTTCACTCTTTTCGGGCCCTGTGTCGCAATTACGAGAAGTTGCTGAAAAATCTTCAGTTCAACGTACTTGCTAAAATCTACCCAAATGGATAATTTTTTTAAGAGCTTCTAAGTCGAGCCAAGAACTTTTCAGGAACCCCTTATAATTAAACTTCATAAATATCATTAACAGAGGTTTAATTAAACGTGTTTGAAAATAGCAATTAAGATATCTCCAATACGGTAAGGCTTTAATTGCAATGAACGAAATTAAAAAAAAAAAATGAAATCTATCGAAAAGCGTTATTAAATTTTCATATTAAAGATCTTAAATTTAATCTACAAAATAGAGCAATATATTAAATTTTATTGAAACGATCTATTATGGACGCGTTGGAACATGAAAGAAAATTCGTTTATATCAATCGTGCTTTGGGGTTGAAAGAGTTATGTATTTTCCACCAAGGCCAAAATCGGTTTTATCGGGCTCATATAAAACTTGGATTTTCAAATGCTGATTTTCTATGCAAACGGAGTAAACAAATATACCAGTGGTAATCGTAATATTCGCTGTTTCTTTGCCTGGAAGCATTCATTGATGGAGCAGGTAGCAATACTGTCGGTTGAAATTTTTAAAATCTTTCTCTTAAAACGATTCTCAGGAAAATAGATTTCTCAAGTTCAATAACTGTTATCGCTCTTTCATTTTCTTCTATGGGTCGTGTCCCTCCAAGAAGTAGACGATCATGGCTCTCTACAATCTCTTGTCCTTTGCAGCTGTTAATAACTTTTGCCTTTTTGTTATTTCTCCTAAATCACCCATTTACTCCAAGCTAGCTAGGTAAATTGTGCGTTGCATTCCTTTGTCCCTCTTGTTTTCAATCTGTCCCGTTTAAGTATTAAATTTTCCAAGCCTTCATTCCTCATTATGTAGCCGAAAAATTTCAACTGCCTCTTTTTGATGTTAAGTATACGTGTCCTTTTTGTTTACATTTTTTTTAAACTTCGTCATTGCGCACATGTTCCGTCCATTGTATTCTCAGCATCTTTCTGGAGAACCACATTTCTGTTGCTTCAACTCTCTTCATCATCTGTGAGGAGATTGTCCAGCATTTATTGTCATGTCGAAGGGCTGATATTATATAACAATTTGGTAATCTTTTCTTTGTTTCTAATGAGATTTTTCTGTTTCTTAATACTTTTCTTAGCTTTTGGAATGTATCTTTCGCTATCCCAATGCACCTTTGGAATTCAGTGTCGCACTTTTCGTCTTCTGTTAAAAAAACTTACCAGATATTTAAATTTTTTTATTTAATATTTTTTGTACGTGTTTGATTTTAGTATCTCCAATTTGTAATTTGTAATAGAGAGAGGTATACACACACCATCACATGAATGCACACACGCAAATATAACTTTTATGCACTGGAAGTGGAAATGGTGTTTATATATCAAAGTACAATTTGGGTTAAGATGTATGTTTACCGATGAGAAACACAATCTCAGGTAGGAGGCGATGTTTTAAATCTGGGTCATTAGAAAAAAAAAAACAATGAAAAAATGATCTAAATAAAATTTATCGGTTAAAAATTGAAATAGAGCTTACTCAGGCTACGAGATATTTGGTTTTGTTAAGCAGTATTTGTTTTGATTAAAAGGTTGAATCAATGTTTAGATATCCCAAAGTATAATTTTTGGGGAAGCGAGAAGAACTCGTGGTAAATAATTGGAGAATCGGTTTACATGTCAAGGGATAGTTTTTGGCACTCATGATAATCGCGTGTTGGGCCAAGGGTCGATTCATGATCAAACAGATTTATCTATATTTACCAGCGTAGTTATGCTGAAGAGAAGGCAGACGGTCGAGCGAGACGGAAGAGGCCAGACGGGAGAGAGACAGGAGAGGCCACGATCGGTCGGCACATCGTCGTCATGTGCGTGAGCACCCGCAGGCGACCGTTACGGATCGCGGCGCTACAAGACAGCCGAGAAAGGCCGACGAGAAAGGCCGACGAGAAGAGTCGGGGAACGAGACCGTCGTCGAGAGAGTCACGAGAGATTTGCGGGAGAATTAGAGAAGTCTGTATGAGACTGGACTACTAGTCATAAACCTACCCCAGGTGATTCAATACGCGTTTATCACACACAAACCCTCTCTCTGTTGGGAATTCGCTGGATGCATTGTGTCTTTTTCTTTTTATTTTCTCATTTATGTTAAATGTTTTTATTCTCCTTTTAACCACTGGTCTGATGTTATCTTCTTATATAAAAGACATCAATATTTCCCTCATTGTTGTCTGGCTTCTGCAGATATTATTTCTTGTTTTATTTTGCCACATTCTAAACTTCCTACCGCCAACTCTCACAGCCGTGTCCACACCCCCAGTCGACCGTGAACGCATGGACAAGACCCCGCTTAGTGGATCTAAAAACTAACACAGCGTGGGAAGCAAGCAGGACTTGACCAGTTGACCGGTCGAAATAATCTACGGGTACTCAGGGAGCGTAAGGCCAGTTACCCCTAAGTTCGGTTCGGACCGAGTGGACACCTCAACCCAAAGAGGAAGACGCCGGAGGTTGAGGGGTTGAGGACGAAGTGGTAGATTTGGTGCCGTGTTGACCAAGATAGACCCATGGGAATTACCACGGCCGTTTGAAAGTGGTAGAAATTTGCATGTTGGGTTGTTCCTTTTGTTAGCAATCATGCATTCTATCTTCTTGCAATTAATGTTTAGACCTTTCTCCTCACTTTCTTTCACTATATCCTGTAAGAGTTCTTGTAGTTTCTGCATCTGCTATCAACGCAGTGTCATTTGCATATCTTATGTTGTTAATATTGTGACCGCCAAAAATGAATCCTTGTAGAACTTCTAATTCTTTCAGAATCGCTTCACTATATAGTTTGAATAAGTCCGGCGAGAAGATACATCCTTTTCTTACACTGCACTGTCAGCTGGGTCTTCAGAACACACCACGCCAACTGTACCTCTGCAGAGGGGTACCTCCCCACTACCACCAATGGGACATCCTGAATATGACGATAAACTACATCCCGCAGCAAGACCTCTCATCAGGAGATTTTGAGGAGCGTGGAACTACCGCTTACTTGCTATTGTTCCCAGGTCCACCCTGATCCGGGGTGGTAGCACCTGTTAGGGTCCCAGCTATGGTCAAATAGTTAACCCCCAAACTGTGGTCAAAACTCTATGAAAGTGTAAAAATAGGTTATTATAGTAAAAATACCAGCAATACATTTGAAAAAAAAATTATTACCAGCAACAAATTTTTGAAAAAATATTACCGAAAATGGATTTTTGAAAAAAAAAATATTACCAGCAATGGATTTTTGGATAAAGATATAACCAGGAATAGAACAACAGCAATTAAAAGCTAGTTGCACGCTCCTCAAAAGCTCCTGATTAGAGGTCTTGCTGCCGGATGTAGTTTATCGTCATATCCAAGACGCTTCATTGGTGGTGGTGGAGGGGTTACAATCGGCGTATTCTGAAGCCTCAGCTGAGAGGGCGGTGTAAAAAAAAGGATGTGTCTTCTCGCCGGACTTATTCAAACTATATAGTGAAGCGTTTTCCATGAAAAAAAAATAGGTAATAGATTTTTGAAAAAAAAAAGTATTACCAGCAATACATTTTTTTAAAAATATTATCGGCAATAAAAATCTGGTCGGCATTAAATAACGCATTGAGGTTGATATGTCATAAAACAAACCAAAATTTGTCTTACACCCCTTTCTATTTTTGTATATTTACTGAACTCATTTTCTATCCGTATGCAAGTGGTTTGCAGCCAGTATCAGTTCTGGATTATTCACATACACTTCCGAAAAATGTCCATGTTTCCTAGCAGTTTCAACAGTTCTTTGGGGCGTGTTTTATCAAACACTACAGCTATTAAAATATGCAATGTTTAGAAACAATAGCGATAAAGAACAAATGCAAAAGCAATATAAATCTATACGAGATCGACTAGGATAAGCATTTATATATATCGAACGCCATACATTAAGACCATTATTATTATTTATATCAATACTATTATTATTATCTATAATGACAATACTATACATATATCCATAAATAAATAAAAATATTCCATTCAGTTAACCACTTTTAATCATTATTCTTCCTGGCCTGTGAAGCTCCTTTGTTGGACGTAAGCCTTCCCTAGATTCATGGGGAGAAACGGAACATTACCCTTCCACGCAGGCCTAATCCATGTTACTAGGGATGGACGTGTCATGCATGGGCGATCATGTCTCTTTTCGCTTTATGATCGCCCAATAATATTTGCGAGTAACTAAATGTAACGAATCCAACTGGAATTCGAACTCGGATCCCCAATTTCTCAGTCGTTATCCATTACACCACCAACATATCCAAGCGGTCACCCATCTAAGTACTAACCAGACACGACTTTGCTTAACTTCGGTCATCAGACAGGAACAGGTGTTTCAACGTGATATGGCTGATCTACAAGTTGCTCACCATTACATGAGGCATCCGTAATTTAAAGACATCGATCCTCACAAATCCTCCGTCTAAAAATAATCATAGTAAATACATTCCTCTGATCGGGACGCCTCATGATGATCTAATACATAGTGAAAAGGCCTCGCAGATCATTAGCACTGATTAGTGAGTTCGATCCAGACTAGGTTAACATACGCGTGCCAAAATTATGTTACGCTTATATATAGATAAATACATTCATTCGCCTAACATGCTTACACATTCCTCTCACATTTCGCTCCATATATTAGGTCGAGTTATAAGTGATTTCCGTTTTGTGGAACCAACTGTAATGGCGAGTGTATCATACTAACTATTGATCGTACGGGATTGTTAAGAAAAACTTTGGAGTGCACCAAAATAACTTAGTTTTTGTGGTGACTACTCAGTAGGTTAAAGAAAAATATAGTTCTCTTCCATAAAAACACACGGCCGCATACAACAATAATTAACACAGTAAAAAAGTATAAAAGTCGGTTGGAATGATCTACTCCACTCGTCATATTCACCTGACCTTGCATCAACCGATATAATAATCGATCGTTGCAAAACGCTTTGATGGAGAAAACTTTCTGTACTGAAAACTTCAAAAGTTCGTCGGAAAATTTTTCACGAAATATGTTGAGAAGCTGCCTGATGGGAAGAACAAGTCAATGCAATAATAGTGAATACATAACTGAACAAAAAGTAATTTTATTTTATTTTTTAAAGAATAAAGTTGATAAATAAAATCGGAAATTATTTATGACTCACCTTAATAATTATTTAAAGCAATGGTAGTATAATAATGGATGTGCGAGTAGTGTAACGGATATCGGTGGGGAAACTGGAATCTGTTGAATTCACTTTCGCACAAATGCTCTTGGAAAAGGCAAAAATCCATTTCTTCTTTCGCCCCACCTTCAGTTAAATAGAACGGTAGTCTAGGTTCTTTAACCATAGATGGCAGCCGGACTTGGAGTTAAAAAAAAAAACTCTTAATTCCAAACCATGAAGAAGGCAACAGGAAAAAACTCCACTATCTTTCACAATAACTTATAGCAATGCACAGATAATAAAAAGATGAATCTGTGGAGAGTCATATTCGCCAACGTCTTGAAGGGATACATATAGCAGAGATTATTCCTCAACCTGTCATGCAGAAGATTAAGGTTCGATTCTCCCTTAAGGAATCTTTTAGATTTATTGTGTACCTAGTGCTGATTTTACTCGAGAAGCTAGGCAAAATTATATCACATGTATGAAACCTTATATATAAAGTACAGTGTATGTGTGTGCTTGTGCATGTGTGTGTCCAAGCAACTCCTCCGCTCCCACTATTCAATAATTCATAGCTCATTCAAAGGCCCTAGAAAGGTTAGGTGCAGGGAACGATTTTCGTTGAACTCAGATTTAGGTTTACCAGATTATGTGAGGTTAAAGATATATATTAATATATTATACTAGCCATAATCGTTACTTTCGTGGTTCAAGAGGAGTAACTCTTATTTTCCTTTTGTATCCAAAATTGCAGCTAGCTTAAAATTTTAAGCTAGCTAAAATTTTAAGCTTGCTCCTCTGGCGGTCTCTTGGTTTGGCCAACATCATAATAGCTAGGGAGGAGTAGATGCGATAGGCATCAATAAACTAGAAAAGAAATCAAAACTGATCACTGCATTTAAGTATTTAATTAATGTTTAAGCTTAACTTTTAAAAGTTCAACAATAATTCTTCTGTTGGCACTTAATTTAAAGATGATTTGATGTACGTAGATCTTTATTTTCCGTACAAACAATTATTTTTATTTCATGAGTGACGAGGGACAATTTATAAGATAAAATTAATATAGTGTAAAGATGGAAAAATAGAAATTAGAATTCGTTATACATTCAACATTTAAAGAGTTAGAGAAATATAATAGCTAATTAAGTAAAAACCTATATTATGGAATTTATACGAATAAAATCGAAATTGGAGCACAATTCTCCCAAGCTCTACTTTATAGTAATTTGGTATTTCCACGACACCCCACAAAGTTGCGTTGTGACACAAGGTCGGTTTAATGTGGGAAGCCCGAGCGCGTACAACCGGTCAGGGAAAAAAATTGCTCGAACCCAGCAGCTGCCGGTTGCGCTGGCCTCGGGCAACTGTTCCCCAGGGCTGGGCACCTCTTCAGTATAATTTTCTCATTTGCCCCCCTGTCCTTTGACAGAGAAGTCCCTGAGCGCACTCTGTCGAAGGACAGACGCAACTGAGAGGTGATAAATAATACGTACAAATTACTTTATAGTAATTTACACGCCAAGGAATTTTTACTAAGAGCTCAATAGCTGTATTATATATTATCTACTTCTAGGCAATATCACTCTTCAGGTTTAACTAGTTTGAATATTGATTTTTAAAAAAAGTTTATTTCATTAATTAACTTGCCTTCATTACTGTTCTTTGATTCAAGGATTGTTTTTAAAAATAGTTCTGCTATCGTCTTATATAGTGCATAAAAGTGTTTGAAATTTGCATTTTACTTGGCCTTTAACAAGTTAGTATCTATTTGTAAAAATTTCCTAAACTATAACAAGCTAATTTATGAATGAAATGTTCATTTAAAATTCTTATTTCAAAGATTTCAACTAGTGAATATATATTACTTTGCGAATCGATAGCGAGTGGGCGAAGCCTGCTACTTAAAGATAAACTTGTTTTTAGCCTTCTCATTTACAAATTATTCCTCTATAAATGCATGTGTATTGTCGAAAGATTATATGAAATGAATGATTATGACGCCGATGTGGAGTCGAAAGGTTTTAAAAATTCATCGTGTTTTGTCACTTTTCAAATGCATACACGGAAACATACGTGTGTTTGGCAAATTTGTTTGGGGCGAATAAAATAAATCTCTACATCTACTCTCTATATATCTATTCATCTATCTATCATCTCTTTCACCCATTCCTATCTCTCTGTCTATGTCTTTCTGTTTGTCTGCCAGACCTCCCCTCACTTTCTCTCTCTCTCTCTCTCTCTCTCTCTCTCTCTCTCTCTCTTTCCCCACTTCTCTATCTATTTTTCCAATGATTTATCATGACCAGTCTCTGGATCAATTAGATATCTTCCAATTTACATGAAGCTAGAACATGTATTTCCATAATTTGTATTGATGCGGATCATTTTTTTTTACTTTAACAACAAATCTCGAACAAGGATTTTGAAAGCAATTATTTTTGTCATCCGCATTGCTCACGAAGACAAGGCGCAATTTGAACTAGGAAACCACAAAATAGTAAATATAGCATAGACTCTTCTGATCAAGGCTTGCTTATTCGCTGAAGAAGCGACTGCTGTTCCTTTCAATTTGTATCTGTCACCCATATGTCATACCCTGTTATGTATTTATAAATAAGATAAAAGCATGTCTCGTGGGAGATCTGTATTCAGTAGCTGGCTGAGGAGGCTATACTTTTTTCTAAAGATATTCGCCTATTCATTGCAGTTGTTTAAAATAAACGTATGGATGCGTTAACAATCTAATAATATATATATATATATATAACATAACAACGTCTTTTTTTTATCCTATGTAAAACGAGAGAACTCTTCATCCAAAACGTGAAACGATAATAGGAGGAAAAAGGTCGCATATAAGTAGGGAGAAAATTGGATATATTCCCTCCTTTCAATGGACGTGTGCTTCTATGAACACAAAAAAGTCGCTTGTCAGTTATGTCAACTTCAAACGTATCTCTAGATAAGAATATAATTCTATCGGTGGGAATCACTCAGACTCTTCCACATTTCTTTTCACTTCCACATTTTCTCTCTCTTTCTCTCAAATCAATAGATTCATTTGACCCTCTGAACAGCGGTGTTACATGAAACTCTGGAGTCGGTCAGGAGATAAGTTGCTTGAGCATTTATTAATGTATTGACATATATATATAAACACATATACAAATATATATATACACACTTCCTACGTTGTGATGGGTTCATGTGTGTGTCTATTGTTTTTGCTATCATGTGCATATATATTATATTCGTTCTCCATAGATGTGTGTGTGTGTGTGTGTGTGTGTGTGTGTGTGTGTGTGATCCGACCCGTGTATTTGGTCATTATGTGTGTATACTGTGTGTTTATGTTTGGGGGTTTATGATCTCTTTAGTGCTGGTTTTGTTTATGAAGTTTTTTTTTACTTGTATTTGTAGGTAAGAATAATTGTCGGTATGCTCCAAAAGTAATATCTTCTGTTTTATTGTATTAGCCCACATAGTCAGTTGCGAATGTTGATATAATGGCAGTAGAGTAGAGGTTGCATCCTTCCGCCAGTAATCTATCATTTTTATACCGTGTTACAAATAGCCACTAAGCGGGAATCTGGTATAATGAAAGTGCGTACGAAACATCCATGTCGGTGAATTTTTCTCTTTGGAAAAAAAGGCATCCCTCGACATTTGTTGAGCACTTACAGAGAACAAATAGTAGAGTTAGGCAGAAGGGAATTTGTTTCAGATAGATAGATAGAAATAGACTTAGTGGCTGTCGGATTGTTAAACCATTATGAACATTTAACAAGTTTGATCAATATTTTTGGCTCTGGTCTGGAACTCAACAAGTAACTTACAGTGCTTATTACAGATGTGGCAAACTAAGTTGTTTTGTACAGGATATAGTGAAGCCTGTTTAGCTTACTCGTGGGTTTTCATGTGAGAGGTTGGACCAGAGTGGTTTCTACAGATTTTCTAACACGGTCTGCATGTTATTTCCAGCGTAGTACTGATCATAATTTGAAAAAGGTCCATAAATATTACTCTTTTGTAGCCAACGAGTCCTTCATTGGAGAGATATACTCTGCCACATTCATCAAATTTAAATTGATGGATTACTGGATCAATGATTTCCTCTTTCCTAGCTGCACGGTTATCATTTACCCAATTTCGCATTTTCTTGCAAGATCTTTGTGCCTTCATGAATTGTGCGCCTCCATTTAGTTATCAATCAAAAAACACCATTTCGA